AGGCAGGCTCGGCGTGGACGCCGGCAATGGTGCCAGGTGACGGTGGAGCAGGCTGTGAGCATGAGGGGCACACAGGGGGGCTACCAGGTTGTGTCTGACCAGAAGAAGGGGGTGACTGGGTAGCAGCTGGAGGTAGGGGTAGTCTGTGTAGGTTGGAGATGGCAGAACAGAGTGTATCAAAGAGTCTTTCAATACGGTTGGTAAATTCGGAGGAGGATATAATCTGTGTCGTGTCACCGGAGGGTTGTGGGGGGGGCACTGGTGGGGGCACAAGCTCTGACAGCGTCTGAGTAGAGACAGGGAGGAGGCCCAGTTGTAGCTGAGTTAGGAGACGGCCGGGACTGCTGTGTTGCAGCCAGGTGGGGCCAGGCAGGGGCAGGTGTTGTTGAAGAAGGCTCGGTAGGCTGGGGGAGAGGTTGAGATGGACGCAGCCTTCGGGGAGGCTTTTCTCCTGGGACAGACGGACGTTTAAGAGGGATAGAGAGAGAGAGAGAGAAAGAGGGAGACAGGAGAGAGACAGAGTGAGTGTTTACAACGAACTTTGCTGATGTGTTAAATGTGAAACAGGTGGTTCTCGCCTCGGGGCTGGCTAACTCGCTCCCTGTGGGTTTCAGAAGATAGTCTCTAGCCGTCCAGTGAGCTAACAAGTCAGGGATCTAATAATTCTTATATTAGACCCGAAACACGTAAGTTTTTTATATGGTTTAGCACCCCACTCTACTCAAATATATCATATGTACAGTAGTTGTTAATAGTGAAGGAACGTACGAGTGAATTAATTATCTCATATGTAACATATGTAATTTGTACTCTGCAGGTTTTGACCGAATAAAGAACAATCGAGTCCTACGTGCAAGGGTCTCATTATCCCACAGTCGCTCATCTGGTGGTTTCAGTGATTATGTGTCAAAACAGGTTCGGGGCAAAGTGACGGTTTAAAACAACCTTGAAAGTACTAAAACTCTTATTGATAAAGTTTTCCTGGTAGTTTCAAATTGTTTGCCATTTGTAGTTTTAAGTTCCCGCTTGGACGAAATTGAATCCGTCGGTTAATCCCCCAATTAACCAGGTTGTTCACATAAATTAAATATTGGGGTTTTAGTAACGAGACCCATTGAAGTTCCTGTGTTTTATTATAAAAGGATTATGTCTATAATTCCTGAGTGTAGATCAACCGTAAATTCCACTATTTATGAGTGAACGAGAAAGAGGAAGGCGTTTATATAAATATTAACGTTGACCACGTCCGTTCGATATTAGTTGATCTGAGTGACTGAGCAAGGAGCGTCGCTGGTGAGCGCTTACAAAGATGCTGACATATGGGCTTGTCCCTCTTGGGAAAGCTACCGTTCACGTGTACAACTCATGTCTCACTCATAGACAGTGGAAAGTTACAGGGTGGTGAATCTGAATATAATATCAGATATAAAGACCCATTTATATAATATTTTCTGTTGATGAGACAGGGGCCCATTACAAAATACCATTTTTTTTTCTTTGTCTTAGAAGATGACTGGAGGCTATCATCCATTAGATACTAATGTGATAAAGGGATATGACTAAAAAGGGAAGCTATATTATTAAACGTGAAACACAATGTCCCCTTGGAAAAGAATTAACTAGTGGCAGAAAATCAAGTTACCATAGCAATATTAACTTAATCTATCTTAACCTCTCCTAACCTATCCAAACCTAACTTAATATAATATATATCTTAAGCTAACCTGACCTGGTTAGCTTAGGTAAGGTTAGGTTAATGGCTGCTACAGTGTAAATATCCCGGTAGACACTGCTCCAGCAGGGCTTCGACAGGGAGTTTGAGGAGGACATTTTAGGTCAGTTGCAGGACCATCAGCACCTGCTCCAGCAAGCTCCCACGGACTGACTTCACTAGACTGGTGGACGGAAGCTACCTGACGGAGCGCATAGTTCCTGCAGATGTGTCAGCCGTCATAAAAGGGTTTAAAAACAAATCACCTGGTCAAAGTCACATTAACAAGAAGATCCTGTCTCAACTCCCCGACAACATGATAGAGAGGCTTGCTCATATATGCAACGCCTGCCTCGCCTCTGGATACTTCCCTAAGATGTTCAAAATCGCCGTTATTCGCCTCATACCAAAAGCAGGGAAGCCTCCAAACAAAGTCGAAAACTTTCGACCAATATCGCTGCTAGAGGTACCAGCCAAAATCTTCGAAAAAATAGTCAACAAGCGATTGTGGATGTATCTGGAGGACGAAGACGTGCATAATCCCTGCCAGTTCGGCTTCCGCCAGTACCGAGGCACATCCACCGCCATAGCTCAGGCCTACGAGCAGATCGTCAATGCCATGACTGGCCGCCTGCAGTGCAATATAGTACTGAGGGACGTCAGCAAGGCGTTTGACAAAGTTTGGCACGCAGAGCTGCAGTATAAGATCATACAACTGGGGCTACCCGAAAATCTGATGCGCCTGCTGTGCAACTTCATTATGGACCGCAGAGCCAAAATCAAGATGCAAGAACATTCGGGAGAAGAATTCTCACTATCGAGCGGCGTGCCTCAGGGCTCTTGTCTCTCACCAACCCTTTACACACTCTACACGGCTGACCTGCCACCCCCAATCGTCGGCAGCGAGTACGTCATGTATGCCGACGATGAAACACAGATCGTCACCTGCCCAGGAAGGTCCACAGCAAGGATGGTGCGACTCACTGCTCGGGCAATAGAGTAGATCTCGGAGTATGAAAATAAATGGAAAATAAAAACAAACAAAACGAAATTTGAGGTCATACCCATAGCCAAATTCAAGCCGGCCCCATTGATGATCGACGACGAAGAGATTGAGTACTCTAAACAAGGCAGGTTGCTCGGCCTCATCATTTCTCGGACGGGCATCATTCCCCACGTGAAGGACAGACTAAATAAAGCCAAAGTCGCCGCAGCCAAATTAAAACGTTTTAAATTGATGCCTGAGAAGATACAAGTTCACCTGTACAAGGCGCTGGTGAGGCCTGTGTTGGAGTACCTATCTATACCACACGTCACACTCGGGAAGACCAGACTACAACAACTACAGAGCTTCCAAAACAAGTGTTTGAGGTCAGCAAGTGGCCAAGCGCCACCCTACCAGGAGACAGTGGAAACCATCCACCTAAGAAATAAAACAGAAGCCCTCAACTTCAGGTTCCATCGCCTAGGGAAGAAGGTTTGGGACAAGCTCCTGGACGACCCTCACAGCCCAGACCACCTACGCTGGGAAGACATCAACGGAGGGAGACCCCACGCCTGGTGGCCCCGGAGTCTGCCCGCACTACAACAACCCAACCCGCGATCCATCTATGTCCGCCACAGTGATCCACCTTAGATTAAAACTTAGATGATATAAATTCACATTTAACAAGTCACAATCAAGTGAGTCCATAACGTAATACAGTATAAGATGTTAATAAACTTGTAATTGTAAAATCAATCTAGTCATTGTCTACTAAAATAACCATTGTGCAACCTCATTCTAAATCCTAGGTTAGCTTAGTTAGCCAACAAACTCTGTAATATGTAAAACAAGGGGTGTCGTCCCACTCTGTTTAACTCATTAAACTTCTTTTCCAACCTTTCCCCCCACGACTATATGTTGTGACTTCTCCATCCCTCATGTCTGGCTGTGCCTTGAGCCCCAGCATGCCTTCCATCCTTTTCCCACCTTAACCTAAAAAAAAAAAAAAAACTGCTCCAGCTCGGTAGACCGCATACTATAGTATCCCCGTGCAAGAGCTACTATAGACCGCATACAATTCGGTAGACCGCATGCTATAGTAGCACCAATATGCCAACATTGTTGGAATAAATGTGAAATAATCACATGCTCAGTTTACTTGACGCATTCCTGTTGGCGAAAATGTTCCCAACATTAATGTTGCAAATATATTCGTGTAATTTTCACAATATTGTTAACAACATAGTTGCCAACAATGTTGCGATGGTGTGGCTTCACCTTTATAAATAAGACGTGAGTTGCTAAAAATTGAGTCGAGCCAGCAAAGTGCACCAACATTCCTCCTTGACTCAGATTGGATCGTTAACAGGGGTAAAGATTTCTTTCATCATGAAAACAACAAAGGCAATTTTCGACTTCTTGCAAATACTAAGCTATAAGACTATCAGGTTAAAAATATGAAGTAAGCTACCCTTAGTTCCCATTGCAGGATATGCAGCCAAATTGGGAAGATGTCAGGTGGAACCAGAGGTTTGAAGTGTATAATGAAGGTGTGTGGCTAAGCAAAGGGGCAGAAGATGTGTGCACAGGCTGGTGAAACATCACAACTGGTGATCTACCACCTTTAATGTTGACTGTCCCTTTTCCCATGGTCTTTAAGTATGACAGGAAAGTGTAATTAATTCAGTTGTCCTGGCGCTATTTTCAGAGAGTCACCTGGGTGGGCATACAGGATAAGTAGTCTCTGGGTGGATCAGTGGATTGAACTCGACAAGAAAAATGTCGCTTAAAGCCTTAGACCGACATTTCTATAACCAAAAACTATTGAGCCAGCACAGGTGTATACAACTATATCAGTAGTCAAATAAAACTCAATTCACAGTTTTTCTTTCTAATCCTGTTTTCTTCCCTTTCAATTTTTCTTTCATTGACACGATGCGATGGACCCGACAAAGTAAGGTAAAATTGACCCCGACACAATGGTTGACCCTCTGGTCACCTGCAACAACCTTTAGGTTACAAAATGTGATAATGAAAGTGGGCCCATTGCCTTGGTGGCCCATTAAGGGCAATGTGGATACAGCACACAAGATACTTAAGACAAGGATACGGTGAGGCTGGCTCTGTATTTAATTGCTTTCACTTTCCATTTGCAAAAATTTGGTACCCATTTGCAGCTTGATGGACTGGGGGTGCCATGAGTACGAAATATCGTTCTTTATAACAGGAGACGAGTGCTATATCCATTTTGCTGTGACACCCAAGACAGAGTACAGTGTGATAATGTTTAATAATAATAACTCATGACTGTGTAAAGTTTTAATAAGTGAAATATTACATTGACATGGAAATAATCCAATGAATAACAAAGAAAATCACATTTTGGTGAGATAAAATGAAAAATAATGTAAATCCCCTACACTCAAACAATTCTTTTATTACAAGAAAGATGGCTAGTCCATATTTTCATTGTTTCAATTATTCCAATTCCACATATTAATTCTGTACCTATAACAGTGTTTATGAAACATTTCAAGAATTGTTCTTACTAGTTCAGTCAGATATAAATATCAACAATGGATATCCCATTACCCCAGCAATAATGCATGAAGCGGGTGACTCCTATGTTCATCTAACATAATATGTTTTGGTTGTTGAGACAAGTATAGAGTGATGGTTTTTATTTCTTATACAACAAATTTCAAACAATTGTAGATATCTATGCCAGAGACTACTCACGGGAAGACCAAATAAAAACAAACAATATGAAACACATGATTCAATTAATGTATCCCAAGGCAAGTTTAATGCATCCCAAACAACTGTTATTATACTATATTAAAACTGCGTTAGTTTTGAACGTTTCAAGAGGAAAGAATCAATAGAAAAGTGGTAAATTATTTCACTATTTGAACATACCACAATGCATACTAACTTGATCTTCGACATCCAGGTATATTGCAACCATATGCCGGAACAAGGATCAAAGGGTGGTTACATCCAAGAATAGAAAATTCATAATATCTCCCTGTTTGTTGCAATACGTTCCCTACCCACTAAATCGCCCAGTATCTGCTCTCCTTTCATTCGTATGCTTCACTGATTCATAGACTTTCGCTCTCAGAGAATCCTTTCCCCCATCCTTCGCTTCCAATGCGTCCTTCACCCCATCCTTTGCTTCCAGTGCGCCATTAACCCCCGATCCTTCATTTCCAGTGCGTCCTTCACCCCATCCTTCGTTTCCAGTGCGTCCTTCACTCCATCCAACCGCCTGAATCACAAACTCGTTTTACCAACAATTCTCTTTTCTCAATAAGGCCTTATCACTACTCTTAACCCTGACAATTTCTCTTTCCGACACGTCGTTGAGTTCCAGATATCCTCCTAATATCTGTGCTTCTTAATCTCTATATCATATTCACCACACTTATTGCTCTATAGCACAACATACATATGAAGAATCTATAGATCTATATATATTATAATGATTGCTTAACAATGCCCCATTTATTCCTCTTTGCCTCCTTAGACGTTGTTCTCACTCTCCATACAGTTTTTAAATATTTAATACTTTCTAACTCTCTGCTACTCTCTGATTCAACAGATCATTCGTTGTTTCAATCACTAACACCTTCACTCCTAAGATATCTGAAATAACCTACTTTCTCCTTTTAAGTTAACACTTTCTTCTCCCAGTCTCCCTCAACACACAGACTTTTAATGAAAAAAATCAGTCGGATAGAACATGTTCATTGTTGCAGCACATTCAAGAGTCCCAAGAAGAAGCAGTTTTAGTGATCATTCTTGAGACCGACCACTTTCTGTGAATAAAGCCACAGCGACTCTGCCGCCTCATCATCTCGAGCTGCTGCGCTAGCATAGCCGAGACCACAGTCACTGTTGTGTAGGGTGAGAAATTTTTTATTAGAAAATTATAATAATGCATTAAAGAAAAACATATCGTAAGCCAACTGAAGGTGCAGAGTTGGTTAGTAGTCAAAATGTCTGTGGGTGATTCAGCTTGCCACTCCTGGCCTTTAGCCAATTGCCTATATCCTATAAGATAAAAGAAGATAAAAGGTTGTACTAATACTATATGAGGTATTTCTGTTAGTAAAGTAGACATGGGGACGAAGCCAAGCCGTTGGTTTCGAAGCCGAAGCCATTGGAAAGTACTAAGCAGATACCAGCCATTTAAAAAGTCATGAAGCCGAAGCTGAAGCTGAAACCAAGGCTTTTCAAGGCTACACGAAACTTTAAAAATATTACTTATATAATATAATGTATTACTTTACGCACTGAAGGGAATAGATATGCTATTCTAAGATGCAGCAAGACTTTGAGACAAGCTGACTTTATTTTAAGCTGATTGGTCTTGGGGTAAGTCTTGACTGAATGTAGGACAAAACCCCTCTAGGACATATAGGATATTACATTTATTATATCATAATATTTTAATAAAGAAAGCATTATAAGTGTTAAACAGTAGTACCTAAACACTTTCATAAATATAAAATTATTGTACAGAAGCACATATTAAAAAAATCACAAAAATAAACATTATAAAATGATTATCGTACACTATCTAGTTAAAGTCAGCAAACAAATAAAGCAAAATATTCTCGAGTTCATTAAGTGTTGAGGGTCATTTATAGCTAATTTATTTCCACCTAATGCTGTGACCTATGCCCAACAGAAGCTCTTCTGAGGTCTTCCTCTCATTCACAAATTCCAGACACAGGTTCCTCAAATACGGTTGATGTTTTTTAGTGTGTTATGTTTCACCTTTTACAATTGTATTTAGATGATATTAAACAAATAAAGTATATCATAATGGTGTCAGATCTAAGGCGGCGCAATTTTTTTCCTGACTTGGCAAGTGCCCTGGGATGTCGTGTCGGCGCCGAAATTACTGACCAGCATGTCAGTGACCAGTGCCAACACGAGAATATATTATCACAAGTCAATCAGGTCAGAATCTCCACCCCAGGTAATGCCAGGGATGATAAACTTCAGGTGAGGTCAAGTCAAATGTACATTGGCCATGTGGCCTTAATCTGACCTTACATGACCTGAGACCCAAATGATGCTTTTGAAACTTCGTGTCAACATACTGTTACAGTCTATGACTCTGCTGATCTTTAGAAACATTAATATAGGCAATGGGAAGCTTTTGTCCTAATTTGCCATTCAATTAAGTGTTTTGTGCCGGCACCCGTTTTGACTTTATTTAGGTTGATAAAAGTTGCTTATAGTAACAATCTATTTTTATTAATTTCATATTATTCATTGTTTTATTGTCTTCATTATTCATCGTCAATGATTTTATTCATCCATCCCTTTATCTATCTATCTACTATGAGGAATAGCTCACTCGGGCACAGGTCATCGCCCACAACAGGGCCTTGGGAGGCTAAATGTAGGAGTAAAAAAAATAGAAGAGAAAAAGAGTGTTTATTTACATTACAAGGATGCCGGAAACCCAGCTTTTTTATGTGAAACAGATTGTAAGAGGATGGAAACGTAGAAGAAGGCAAAGTATTCCACAGTTTGGTTGTTTCAGGAAAGAAGCATTTACTATAACGGATTATACACAGAAACGGTGGGCACCACCAGAAAAACGAATGTAACGAGCCCACAGCTATGCCGGCGGTACACAGGATACCAAATCCTCCAAGCACCGCCCGTTATGGTATCTGTAAACGACAGAGTGAAGCAACATTGCGGCGAAGAGAAATGCCTTTGATTCCACCCTATCTAACAGTTGGACAGAAGAAGAGCCACCCCAGATGTGAGAGCAGTAATCCAAGGTAGGACGCATTAATCCCTTATAAACCTGAGGTAATTGCTCAGGAGTGAAGTAGCTACGGCATTTGTACAACATTCCCAGCTTTCGGGAGGCAGCTTTAGCAATGTTAAGGATGTTTGACTTCCATTACAAATTAGAGGAAATGGTGAGGCCTAGCATATCTACTTTGGAATTTTGCAAAATGATTGTGTCCTGAAATGTGATTGGTGGGAGATCTTCTATTTTGGACTGTGTAACTGGTAAATGCTGTTGTTTTCTTACTATTGAATATGACCAAGTTTTTACCTCCCAATTCGGAGGTGTTGCACACATCCGCATTGATAGACGAAATGATATCAGATCTAGAAACAGATAAGTTGGACAGTTAGAGGAAAGGGTAAAATGAGAAGAGTGAAGAGTATAATCATCAGCGTAATAATGGATAGAATTAGTAGTAGTTTAAATCATAGATAAAAAGAAAGAAGAGGGTAGGTGAAAGAACGGAACCTCATGGAACACCACTATTGGTAGAGAAAGAACGAAAGATCGATTCCTCGATAATAACTGCCAAGGATCGGTTCTCAAGGAAGTTAGAAATGAGAGAACAGAGTGGCGGAGAGAAACCATAAGAAGGAAGTTTTGAAAGCAAAGACTTTGTCATACCCTGACTAAAGATGGGTGCAGTAGGAGAGCAGATCGCTAGTAGATCTCGTCTGGCGAAAGGCATACTGGTGATCCGACAAAAGAAAAAGGCGTTCAAGGTGACAGAGAAAATGAGAGTTTAAGATTCTTTCGAAAATCTTTAAGAGGGATGAAGTTAGGGCAATGGAGCGATAGTTAGAGGGTTTGGAATGGCCACCTTTCTTCGGGATGGCCTGAACCAAGGCAAGCTTCCAAGAAGACGGAAAAGTTTGGGTTTTGAGGCACACTCCCCCACAACACTAGGGGGTATTCCGTCCGGTACACGCGCCTTACTCAAATCCTGATTGGATAACACACTGGCAACCTTACGATTGGAGGTTATAGAAAAGTGCTTAGGTCCGGTAGGAGGAGCAGGAGTTGGACGGAGAGAGTTGGAATCGTCTAAGGTGGAGTTAGAGGAGAATAAGGTGCCAAAGAGATTGGCTTTATCAGGGGGAGAGTTGGCTATAGAGTTATCAGGTCGGAAAAGAGGGAGTGCAAAAGTTATTATAGATGTTTTTGGTTAAGGACCAGAAGGATTTACTCGAAGAAGAATTAGTCAGCTCAGCGGTCTTTTTTTTTTCTTCATAAAACACCGCTTGGCAATAAGAAGAATAGCCTTACAGCGATTCCTAGAAGTAATGACAGAGGAGTGGGTATAAGGAGAAGAAGATAGTTTCATAACTTGATACGCTCTATCTCTCTCCCTACAAGCAAGAAAACAGGAGCGGTCAAAACATGAGTGTAAAGTGAAAGTTTTGGTAGAAGATGGGATAAATGCACTCATGCCACCCAGTACAACCCCAGCAATGCTGTCAGCACATACCAAGGCGTCCCGAATGGAAAAGCAACCAACATTCATCCCAGGGAAAGTCGGAAAATAATTTTCGCAAGGATTGCCAGTGTGCCCTCCGATAGTGCCATAGTTGGCGTTTAGAAGAGGGTGGGGGAGGTGATTGCGCACAATTTGATTATTATAAATAAGATTGTGATTAGAAGACCCTAAGGGGCGGAATTTGAGTATGAATAATGTGAGGAGTTAGCGATAAAATATAGATCGTCATTCAATTTATTAATTTCATTCTTTTATTAATTTATTTTATGCTTTACTAAAACTAATCAATAATGAAAAAATTTACTCAATACAGGGTCGTATACATAACTTATAAACATAATAATTGACAGTCAACAATCATTGAGAAGCATTGCAGCCAATCATCTTAAGATTTTCAAAGGTGCTGTCAGTCAGCCAACAGCACCTGGTGCTGAGGAGGCAAAGATAGTGGTTGTCCGAAGTTCAGGTCAATTCATTAGTTCATTATGAGAATAGACCAATAGAAAGAGGAGGGATCAACTGTGACGTCACTGGTCTTTCCTACCAGGCCAGGTGATTGTGTGAATAGAAAAATCAGGTATCAGCTCAACTATGACGTCACAATATGGTCAGTGTGGCAAACATAACCCCCGCCCCCGCAGGGTGGATAACCCGGGATACGGACAAAATCCCCACTGGACAAAAACCCCACCGGACATAAACCCTACCCTACCGGACAAAACCCCAACCTGACAAAACCCACAACGGACAAAATCTCCTCATAGTAAAAAATAAAACAAAATCTATTTAAAGTTTATAATAGCGAACATTGTGAAATGTATCCAAACACTGCTTAAGAAAAAAATATTAACGTTTTCAATAATTTTCTTACAAATCCACTTACTAAGACAATGAATGTATGGAACATTATGAAGTGTAGGTTATATGAACCTAGATAACTAACCTGCTTTCAATCTCCCACTGCATTTCCCACTTTTTAACTTTACATTCCTTCTACACATTCCTGCATCTTCAGAGCCGACGGCTCTCTTCTCTACATACTTACTCCTACAAATTTCTGAACTTCTTGGGGGTTGCAGAATTCGGATGCTTTCAATGCATGGCAGTGAACAGTGGCATCACCCACATGAAACTGACCTATATATACTGTTCATGAATATGATGTATTTCTTTGTGTATGAACCTCTGTCCTAAGTGGCAGTGAGAAGTGATACCACCTTCAGTGTCAAGATCTGACTGAATTACTCAGAATAGGCAAACTGTACTCCAAGCTTTGTCAATAAATTTGTTAAACTAAAACAATGTATGCCATTTTTGAATCGGGGACCCACTGCTGAATCAAGATTTCATTTCACTTCACAGAAGTTGGCTGGATTTGTTTCCTACAGTTCAAGGAGCTCATGACTTGCGGTCATCCTCTGATGTCGAGCCATAGCCCTGAGTTTCGGGGAACACATCATCAGCATAGGTAGTAGGCAGTAGGCTGCTGTCAATCAGGGAGGTACTACCGCCTGGGAAGATAATAGAAGCATAATGTGTTGTCTAATGGTAGACCCTGCTGCTATATGGCATCACAAAAAATGTGACCAAGTT